GCCATCTCAGAGCAATGGGTTTACATTCTGCATTATGGTGTGTGGCATACTGCTTAGTTTGGGATTCAGCTATAGCATGTGTGGTGCATATTGGTACAAAGTAGCAGTTGCTAGAACATTCAAAAGAGTAAGTAAACAGCTTTTAGAAGAAGAGCAGTCTGTTTAGCAACAACATATTTTCTGTTTTTAAAGACTTTCAGGAGAGACTTGAAAGGGGCTTTTATGGTTTGGTATTATGGTGTATTTGCTCAAAGTATAAGACATTAGAAGAATGTGTCTAAGCACCCATGGTGCTTGTAAGCACAGGAGGGGAAAACCAAGTTTGTGAAGGTGCATGTACTTTCCTGGCATTATGGTGGGTTGGTTTTAGAAGGCTTCTTTGCTCTTAGGCAGGGACAGAAGGTTGTGCTTCTGTTTTATTTTGAGTGTGGATTTTACCCACATCTTCCTGAGAATGAAGTAGTTCTGTAACTTTTACAGTAAGAATTGAATGCATTGCTTTGTTTGAAGATGGGAGAGTGGCACTCTGAAGTAGAGTACCACAAATCATTTGGAAAATCTAGAGTAATTACTGTTGTTATTTTGAGGAAACTGCTATGCATTTCAAAAATGAAGAAATAGCATATGTTGCAGAGGGGGAGAGGGTGAATCTTGAAACTGCTATGGGACTTCTGTGGTATATAACTTTGGGATTTTCTGGGTTTTTTTGTCATTCCATCTAGATATTGCTTCTGCATTTGTGGCACCTGTGGATCTTCAGGCTTACCCAATGTATTGCACTGTTGTGGCATATCCCACAGACCTCAGTACCATTAAGCAAAGACTGGAAAGCAGATTTTACAGGTGAGATGCAAGTGTCAGTTTCTGCTGTGGAATACTGTCAGCTGTATTTTTGGTAGCTCTTTGTCTTGTAATACCAAACTAGGAGATGGCTGCAGGTGTGTGCTTTTAATTTCTTCCATCTTCTATCCTTGGTCTGCGTTTCCAATTCCTAAAACTCTAAAAAGGATTGAACATCCCTTCTCCAGAATGTATTTTTGAATTGCATGGCATTCAAATTCCTGCTTATGCAAATTCCTCGTTCCATATGAGATTCAAATTGCAGGGTTAGTAAAGTGACTTTTAGTCCAAAGGATTAGGTTTCCACTTTAAAATTTAAAAAGAGGTTTCTCTTTTTTAATAAGAGACACCCTAAAAATATCTCAAGTCTTTTTTTCCTAATGTGCTTTTAAAAATACATAAATCTTACAATCCCTAAGTGTAAACCTTTGGTTTGTTTTGTTTGATGTTTTCCTAAACTGTGACTGCAATTGCTGTAGGTTTTTATTGGTTGGTTAGTTTGGGGGTTTTTTTTAGTAAATATTATCTTTGTAGCAGTATAATCCTTTACATTACTACTGTTTCCTTCACTTCTTGGGCTATTTCTGATCAAAATATTGGTGTTCCTCTAATACTTCTTTTGAAAAAACATGGATAGCATTTTGTTTTGGGCCAAATTTCAGAGTTAATTTGTAGTACTTTATACATGCTTAATGAAGATTTTAATTCTAAACTAAATTTGCTTTTTCATTTTTTAAAAAAAAACACCTCTGCTTTTTATCATGATAATGCAATATTTCACTTATATTGTTCCATATTTGTTGTGGGATATGAGGTAATCCAGCTTTCACTTCTACAATGCACTGCTTTTCTGTCGTGTGGAGAGGACTTTTTGCTGGATTTTTGTTTCTCTTGTCAAAAGGAGTCAGCAGTTATTTTTGGTAATCAGCATACCTTCAATATATTGGGGTTTATTAGTTTGTAGTACTGTCCAGGCCTGGTTAGATAATAAGCAGCCATCCTGTGCTGTGCTCTCCAGTGACTTTTTTTTTTACCTTCTGTAGATTGTTCAGTTCATTTGTGATTTTGATATCTTTTCATGAAGCTTACCTGAAAACTTATTTTTTCTGTCCTGAACCAGGAGTCTTAGCATGCTTGTAGATATCTAAAAAATGCAGAAGAAAGCACTAAAAATATGATCTTTCCCAGTGACTACTGATATTGTAGAGAGCTAAATGCTGGGCCCCAAATCATTGTTAAATTGCATCTAAATGCTTATGCTATGCCAAACATGTTAAATGATCTCTTGCTTTACTCTACTAAGCACTTATGCAGCATTTTCTTCCTTATGTTTCGCTAGTATAACAGAAGACTGTGTGTATATTTGTAACTTCTGTGCTGTCAGAGTTTTTATTTGAAGTAGTATGTATTTTATTTCTATTGTATCTTTTTTTTTAAGATTTGAATCTATTTTGCTTTTGTGCATCAGTTTTTATAATGTGGCTGTTCTATAGTTAGGTTGTTAAGTCAGACCCATGTGAGGAGATCTGATTGTTGTCTATCTGTCAGGAAAATGTAGACTAGAAAAACATTTTCATTACTATTTTGTTCATCCTCCACTGCAACTTCAGAGGTGATATAGGATGAGTTATGGATATCAGAAAGAAACAATAACAGGTGAAGCTTCACAGCTGAGTTTTCCTGCGGGGTGTCAGCTGTGTGTTCTCAAAGCCATTTGTACAGATTCCCAAAGGGAATGACATGAGAAGGGGAAGCCTGAGGCAGCTGCCTCTGTGGCCACGCAGGGCAGCGTATGGAAACGTGTTTTCTGATGGCCTGGGAGACAATGGGAATGGGAACAAGCATGTCACTATTTTTTTCCCCCATGTTCATATACATTGCTAGACATCAAGTCTTTCTTTTTTTCCTCCCTCTTTTCCCCAACTGTTGCTCTGCAGGCGCCTTTCTTCGTTGATGTGGGAAGTCAGGTACATCGAACATAACACTCGCACGTTTAATGAACCTGGAAGTCCTATTGTCAAATCTGCCAAATTCGTCACAGATCTTCTGCTGCACTTCATAAAGTGAGTTGCTTAGTCGGTCTGTTGTTATTTGTATCTCTTACCCCAAGGTATTTAGCCTTTTCGGATCTGAATCTCAAAGGGGGATAGTTCTGCAGCTTGAATAAGCCTGTTGTCTGTTGTTGGGGCAGAAGAGAATAAAGCTTATCTTGACAAAGAATTCATAAGTTTGCAAAATGAGATGAAGTTCTATAATATGTTGGCTGGCATAGATTGGCATGGCATTTTATTTTGAGAGACTTTCTCCTAAATGACAAAAAAGGGTCTTAGTATCTTCATGGAGCCTGAGCCATGTGCTCCAGGGTGGCCCTGCTGGAGTAGGGAGATTGGACCAGATGATCCATTGTGGTCCCTTCCAACCTAACTGATTCTGTGATTCTGAGTTGTAGATATATTTACTGGTAAGTTAGGAGTTAAGATTTTGTGTTTGAATGCTGCCTATGTTAACGTAATTGTGGGCTTTTACTTCTAAAGTCTAGATTACAATTTATAATGTGATTGAAACTTGTGTTTGAGATGTATGCAAAGCAAAAATTGGAGGCTTTGTAGTCGACAGAAATAGTAGTTGTCTTTCAAATGTTGTTTTTTACTATTGTCTGTAGAAAAACTCTATGAGAAATGGTTAAGATTTTTCAGTCAGTTGACACATCTACAGACTTAAGTTGGTAAGAGCTTACTGTGTACACTGCCTTCGTTTGCTTGTACACAGTGAGTGCTGCTGTTCCCACCTTGTAGAAACAGCAAGATACTTCATTAGTTTAACAAAAATCATGAAATTTTGAGTTAGTTTCTCAGTGCTAAATTAAATCTTGTTCTTTTTTATTTTGTTCTGTGTTCTTAAAAACTATTAGAACTGTGTTTGAAAATCTAGGACTTTGCCTTCATACATAAATCTTTGGTATCTTCAGTGCCTGTGATTTCTGATATTGGCTGGAGAATGAAAAATACTTAACTGCTTCAGAACTTAAGTTTTAGTGAAATGCACCATTAGGAGCAGATATATATCTGGAGGGCTTCTCTGTTACTAATTTTGTTCTTTAACATCTTTGTCCTACATTATTTTTTCCTGATTAATTAAGCAGCTCGGGGTTTTTCAAAGTGTGTTTTTAATTGGCTTAGCTAAATTAGTGCAACATGCTGGAATTCTTATTTAATAATGGCCTATAGCTTGTGTCTATTAATGTTCTAATTTAAGTGAACTAACAATTCATATAAAGCCCAGACTTGTCTTTATTTCTGTGGTTCTACCTGTAGGGTAGAAGTCTTAGACTATGGCAAGCAAAGCCCATGGTTCTCATGAGAGTGAATATTTAGATGCCTCTGGGAATCTAAGGTTTAGTCTCTTAAGTTACCTAAGTCTATTAAAAAGATGAAAATAGGGAGGGGAGAGTGATGATGTTACTTGGTCTTTTTCTCATCTTCTCTCCCAGCTGTTCTAGTGCTAATTGCAGTAGCCTGTATTATGGATTATGATTCCAGTGTGGAGTTGCTGAATGTTTAGTTACAAGTGTTTAAAGTTTTACAAACCACTTTTGTTTTTCCCAGTAGAACGCCTTAGGTGTAGGAGTTTTTTTCTGTTATAAACAAGAATGGAAAATTAGTGTGTGTTTTGCTGATTTAATTAAGTGGGTTTATACAGTAGCAGTGTTAGTCCTTTCACAAACAAACATTGCATTTCAAATGTCATACATTGGCTAGATGTGCACCAAAGCCCTTTGTGTGGCATAGTATTGCATTTTTCTAATGCTGATAAATTCACGGTAAAGGATTATGGTTTTTAATTTTAAAATATTGAGACTGTTAAGTGGTCTATATTTTACATAGTGCAGATAATATTTTACAACTTTTTGAGCAGATGATTAGTTTGATTTACTACTGCAGTCCCTCAGTATCCATATAGCACTAAACACATTATCATTTCATTTGGGAATGGCTTCATAAATATTTTCCTTATCCTAGGCAAATTACAATTGATTCCATAGGTGGAGATGGAAAATAAATGTTAGTGTGTATTTCTTTTTCCACAGAGACCAGAGTTGCTATGACATAATTCCATTATACAATGCGATGAAGAAGAAAGTGTTGTCTGACTCTGATGAGGTAAGTGGTTGTGTCTTAGACTTTGGCATTGATAGACTGGAGAAACAGGACTACTGTCTTGGTCCTGGTGAAGGCCAAAGTACTGGTTTGTGTAAGGGAGTGGGGAGTACTTTTCTGTCAATAAAATGCTTCTTTTTGCCAACTGAGAAACTGGTTAAAAATCCAGCCTCCTCTTTCCTTTAGTGCAGAGAGCTTTACTGGTTTGCTGGAGAATTTAGATGCTGCTTAGACTTTTGAGAGGTTCTCAAAACTGACAGTCACATGAAATGTTTCTAAGAGGGACCAGGGTAGGACTGTGGAGACTCAGATTATAAATGAAGTATAAAAGAACTCACCTACTCATATATGCTTGTATTTTTTAACCTTTTTATGCGACTCATTATCTTGCTCAAAGGAAGAAGAGAAAGATACAAATGTGCCAGGAACTTCCACTAGAAAAAGAAAGGTAAATGTTTGGGGTTTTTTATTTATATTTTGTGGTCCTATAAATAATTATAAACGTGTTTGTAAACAATGGAATGTAAAACTGGAAAAGTTTTTATTATTGTGTAATACTAGGTTTTTGAAAGTTTTGACTTTGTGGTGTTGCTCTACTGAGCTGTGCAATGTAAAAGCACTTCTGTCTGTGCTGCTGCACATTGTGAATGCATGTATATCCTCTGGGGTGCTTTTCCCATTAGATTTTGTACAAGCAGCTAGTTTATGTAATATATACCAGGCAATATTGTCATTTCAGGATCATCAGCCGAAGCGGCGGCTGCGTAACAGAGCTCAGTCGTATGACATTCAGTCATGGAAGAAGCAATGCCAGGAGCTGCTGAATCTCATTTTTCAGTGTGAAGACTCTGAACCATTTCGACAACCAGTGGATCTTCTTGAATATCCAGTGAGTATTTTAGAACAAAAAGGCTGGTTATAAACCACTTGTTAGGTGATGTGTTGTTTGGGTTTTTTTCAACTTTGACCATTTTTCCGGCTCTTTCAATTGGAACTTGTAGTGACACAATTTTTTTCAGTGCTTCGTTGTTGCTTGATAATTTTTATCATCTTGTTAAAGTAATTCCAAAACAAATTATTCTTCTCTGCTCTCTCGGATACTTCAGTTGCAAAACACTTTTATTCAGGGATGCCTATGTTGTTAAGTAAACTACAGCTTTTTATGTAAATTACAGCTTTTACAGTTGTCTTTCCTTTTCAGAGTGAAAAATGGTCATGTATGAAATGCATATGTTTGGTTGTTGCATGTGATGTCGGGGATCATTGTTTTCATTTGAGAAGTATAAAAACTGAAAGTAAATTTCATATGACAACTTTAAGTAACAAAGCAAAGGCTTGCTTTCCTTCTAGTATATCTGAAGTTTTTCTTTAAAATATCACTCTCAGGTGATTAACTTGGGGGAAATTACTCATCTCAATTAGTGAAAAGAAATGCTTCTCTTTCAGAAGTCACTAGTTAGGTCTGTCTTGACACTTCTGCAGCCATTGGGCACTGTTATTTTTGAAGTAACCTAAACTTTATGCCGTGGCCAACTACAAGTGGCTCTCTGTGTTTGAGATCCTCAAATGAGCTGATAGAGAGCACTGTAGTAGGCTTAGGCATGAAACACACTGCTCCCTGGTGTCACAAACCTGTCTGACATTCCTAGGCACTCCTGCAGGTTCTGTTTGCTCTGATGGATTAAGTTAACTTTTTGGTTAATTTTGTCATTTAAGCTTTTTGTCCAATGCATATTCCTCTGTTTCTTCCGTAGCCAAGAAAAATGGTTCTGTCACTGGCTTGAACTGGATCCTGTTTAAGCCTGTGGACTTTTCAATATTTTAATATTACTTTCCTAAATTGTCAGGTCTCATTTTCAGGTTTCAGAAGGGATGTGCTAAGCGTCTGATCAGGTTCAGATATTCATACTTCATATTTTAAAGCCAATATGTAAGAACAGTATTAGGCTTAGTCCTAAGTTTGAGCTGTTAAGCCACCCAGAAAGTTTGCAGACACACTAAGATATCACTCTTATCTTCATGACACTGTGTCAGGAATGCAAGCCTTAGGACACACAACTCTGAGATCTGTTTCAGTAAATCTGTTCACAAAGTGAATTAAATCTTCTACTGCTTAACTTCTAACCTTGATTCTGTCATAGAATCATAGAGTCATCAAGGTTGGAGGTGACAGCTAAGGTCATTGAGTCCACCCATTAACCTGCCACTCTGTTTGTAAGCCCTAAACCACATCCTCAGCATCAGGTCCAGATGCCTCTTAAACACTTCCAGGGATGGGGACTCCACCACCTCCCTGGGCAACCTATTCCAGTGCCTGGCCACTCTAACAGTGAACAAATTTTTCCTTTTTTCTAATCAGAATCTCCCCGGTCTCAATTTATGGCTGTTCCCCCTAGTCCTCTAACTACAGGCATGGCAGGACAGACCATCCCCCACCTATATGCACCCACTTTCAGGTAGTTGTAGAGAGCGATGAGCCCCAAGACGAGGTGCCCTGCTAGACTTGGTCTCTTGTAAAGAGCTTATAGCCATCAATTACAGCATTCCACTCAAGAGAGCAATCCCACCATGTTTCCATGATTGTCACTATATCATAACTTGTGGGGAGGGGAGAGGATCCTTCACCACTTGAGGTGCATCTGGCTGGTGCATTTGCCTCAGGGCAAGAAAAGAAAAGCTCCACCACTCTGTCTCCTCCTCTGATGCCCTCATGCTCCGTAGCCTCTCCACCTCTTTGAGCTGTACCACCATGCAGAGCTGATCATCCACCTGCTCACACTTCATGCAGGTGTTACCTCTGCTGCTCTCCAATGCCATCACCAGATTCTGCAGCCCCATACCTGGACCCCTACATTTTTTCATGGTAGTTCAGTTTGTGTTGCCACATCCTTCCTGGCACCTGCAGAGGTTTTAGCACCTTGCCAAGTGGAAACCATACCTAACCTCTCCTCTTGAGCTGCTGAGCTGATGGGAGCAAGACCACACCTTCCTGCTCGCCCTGACCACACGAACTGCTGTACAAACTGTTGCACTGCATCCTGTTTGCCTGCCCTGTTTGCTGTGCTCTGGTCACTCACTCCCTGGAGCTGTTTATATCTCCCGTGTTGCTCCCATCTCTGTCCCCTGCTTGCTTGATGGGCTGTTGAGAACTTCTGGGTCCAGACAGGGCTCTGGGCTGCTGCTCATGAGTCCCTGAGATTGGGAATCCCTGTACAGTCTAATCGAAAATCCACCCCCTGGACTGACCTCAGTCACTGCTGCTATCCTTGTGCCAAGTATGTCTGTGAGGAGTTGGGTTGTGTTTGAGTGGAAGGGGGCAAAATGTCTTTAGCAGTCTTCCATACCTATTTAAAGAGGACCCTTGGGTTAAACAGGTTGACCAAATGCATCCTAATGAAAATGATACACTAAAACTTGGAACAAAAGTTGTAATAAATTGCTTTGCTATTTCTTAACAGGATTATAGAGATATTATTGACACTCCTATGGATTTTGCTACTGTTAGAGAAACACTGGAAGCTGGCAACTATGAGTCACCAATGGAGTTATGTAAAGATGTGAGACTTATTTTCAGCAATTCCAAGGCCTATACACCGAGTAAAAGATCAAGGGTAAGACTTCATTACTTTCTGTTGTAGTTTGAAAGAACACTTATATCTGAAAAAATAGGACAGAAGAGATGGTGTAAATGATTACTTTTAAAAACAAGTTTGATTATTTCTGATCTTCAAACATGAATATTTCTGAGGAACTGTTGTAGGTTGGTATTTTAAAGGAAAGGTATGTATGCTGTTTAAATGCCAGAAGTTCTGATCATCTGCATATGTGTTTCAAAAGTAAATATTAGAAAGTGGATCTAAAGGGAGAGCCACGTTGAAGAAAGGATCTTTACACTCATGTTTATGTGTGCAATAGTGGAATTTAACTGATACTTTGGGGGAATAAGCTAGATTCTCAAAATAAACATACACAGAGCCCTTTCGCTTTGGAGGTTGCCCCAACCTGAAATATCCAGGTACAGACAGTAGAGGATGCTGAACTTCTCTGTTGTTCACCATTGGCAGTGAGACTGTAAGGAAGCACTTGGGATTTCTGGGGAACAGGACTGTTCACATGAAGTGTGAGCCTACAAAGCCATTCTTACTGGGCTGATAGTGCCATGCCCTGCTAGTAGTAGGTGCAGTGTCTGTGAAATTGTACATGCATACTGACACATGTTCAGCCTTCTGTGTAGCTTTTCTTCTGCTTATTGTGTTAGGTGTTAGACTAGAATTGTTCACAGCTTTTGTGTTTGCCAGTTCTAAATATCAAATTAGTCATTAGGACTTCACTGTTTTAAAACTTGGGGACAAATTTCTTAGTAGGTGATTAGCAAGAGGGACTGATGAGTGACTACTCTCTGTTCAGTCAGTAGCACAGTCCCACTCACTACTGACACTGTCCTTGGGTGCATCAAACAGAAGGGCTGTCAGGGCAGCTCTGGATTTGTTTGTGATTTTTCTTTCTCTCCTTGACTTCATCACACCTAACGTTATCTTAGCTCTGTGTGGTGTCACAGATTCTTCTGACATTTTCCTATCTTTCATGTTTGTTCCAAACAGACTGGTACAGTAAGAAACTTCTACCTCCTTTTTTTTTAAATTTTACTTAGAAGTGGAAGGTTCTGATGTCAAGAATTTTAATATTCTAGAACCTATGTGCTTTCAGTGCATGCAACACATAGCTGTTAACAGTGATGTTTTTACTGTGACTTGTCATGCAGATATTTTTAGCATCTTACTTCATGCCACTGAAGCTTTCCTGAACAGTAAATCCACGTCACTGATGCTTTCTTGAACAGTAAACCTAAACCTGTCAGCTTTTTTTTTTCCCTTGGCACATTAGACACAAATTTCTTTGCATGCCAACTCCAGTAACACATGCAGAATCTGTCAAACTTACTATTGAATCTGGCACTCGGATAGTTTGGTGTGTCATTAGGTAGGCAACTGTTCAATATTGGTTTTGTGTTTCATATTCTAAGAGGGTGCTGTGTCTCCTCTTAAAGCAGCTGGATGGTTCACTTTAGTGTTTTTTGTTTTCAGAATTAGTAGCAACTGTGCTCAGATAAGTAGTCATGATCTAAACTGATTGGACGTGTCTGTAAATCACCCAAGGCTAGAGAGGAAAAAAGAAGGAAGAAAAATGCACCCATGTAATTTCAGTACATTGATTGTACCTGTTACAAGCAACTTAAATTCATCCATAAAATTATGTAAGATTTCTTGACCCTAGGTATGATACAGTAAAATTACATTAAGAGTCTCTCTTTGTGATTTCAGTTGAAGCTAGAAAGGGATGAATTCTGGAAAGGCTTAATTTTTCCTTTTGTGTGTCATCTTCAGTTGTAATATGCTTCTCAAACCCATGAAAATGGTTAAAGCAAACCTACACAGGCGTTAGTGTAAATTTGTTGAAACAGACTGTAAATTTCCCTGCAACATTTCCCTATTAATCACTTTGTGTTTCTAGCTATTGTTCAATGATAAATTAGTAAAATGATGGTTTGGAAAAGTATCAAACTTGTGTACTGGCTTTTCTTTTTTAGATCTACAGCATGAGCTTGCGCCTTTCTGCTTTCTTTGAAGAGCACATAAGTTCCATTTTATCAGATTATAAATCTGCCCTGCGCTTTCATAAAAGGAATACAATAAAGAAACGAAGGAAAAAAAGAAGCAGAAGCAGCTCAGTTTCCAGTAGTGTTGCATCCAGGTACATTAATTCCTTTGCAGTAGTCATGAAATGCTGTGCGAGTTTGACATACCTAAACAATAGAGTATGTTTTTTTTCTTAATACTTCCTTTGCTATTCCCTATATTGCAGAATGGTAGCTTTGACATGCAAGTCCCTATGATGTGGAAGAGTTTTAAACTTTACTTAGAGCTATCCTAGTGTAAGTGCTTGAAATTCAAATAACTGCTAAACTCGTACAGCAAAACAGCGTCGTTAGGATAGTGGTGGCATCATGCTTTGTCATATAACTGTAGTATTTATGGTCAAGACTGCACTTTTCAGAAGCTCACAACTCACATGAATCTTCACAGCAAATATCATGTTTTTAACATCCTTCATACGGAGGTGATTGTTTTACTGCCACGATCTCAGACATTAGCATTTAATTTAATTTATTCCTGTGCCATGGAAAGGTTGTCATCCAGGATACAAATTGTTACTCCTTTTGCAGCCCTGAAAGGAAGAGGAGATTAATCAAACCTCAGCTGAAGGCAGAAACTTCTGCCACCTCATCATCTTCTGTCCCTGCTCGGTCAATAGCACTGAGACATGCTCCACCTCAGATGAATGGAAAAGCAGCTGAAACCTCTTCCCTTGTGCGGACTAGAAGCAATAGGAGCACAACAGATGTGGCTGTTACAGAGCAACCATCTACTTCTTCAGGAGCAAAGCCTTTAACTATAAAGCCTTTAATTACCAAGCCTAATATCACTGCAGGGTCAGGAAAGTCAGGCAAGTTGGTTTTTTAGTCTTTATTCTATTTTAATTAAGCTGCGAATGTTTTTAAAGATAAAACTGACTTTTTGGAAATCTAATATATTTGTCTCAGTTAAGACTGGTTCAGTTTTCAAGCTGATGGGCCTTTGAAGCTCTTCAGAGGAAAACTGAACAAGTTAGGCTATGCTGTTTTATTGGAGAATCTTTCTCCCTTCTGAGTCACTGATTCAAATTGTTTGTAGTAAAACGTGAGTTCCATTTTAGCCCAACAGGATTGAACGTGGTATAAATTGCTTGACTTGTATAATGAGGTTTTCTTTTTTGTCCTTCTAGTACTGGAGAATTCAACCAAACATTCCAAGAATCAGAATATTGTATCAAACCCTACTCAAACTGATTACAGTCATAACACTAGGAATAACTCCACAAGAGAAAATCCCGAAAAAGAGAAGCAAATCAAGCGCAAAGTAAAATCTTCCACTGTTAATCAACAAGGTACTGAGTTTCTCTGGAACTTCCTCCCCAGTTACTGATATACTGACTTGTGTTGTGCTTCAGTTGTGGTAATTTGGGAGTGGGGAAGTTTGTATGCATTATGATTTAGCAGAATAGGGAAGTCTAATGGAACAACTCAGTCACAGTTCGTGTGCTGGTTTGAAAGCAAACCAGTGAGAGACTCCAAGTCACAAATGCAATTTAATAGCGAAAACAAAAAAATAAATGCAACAGTACAAAAAAGAAACCACTGACAGAGTCAGAAAGCAACCTGACACCCTGTCAGATCTGGTCTTCACCTGAAGGTCCAGTGGTAGCTCCTGTCCTCTGGGAATCCAGTAGGTAAGGGCTCCCTGTGCTGGTCCAAACCCCAGATTATATCCAGGTGGGAATGCTTGTGGCTCCTCCCCTGGGGTGAAGCATCTCACAATGGGACATGTAATTCTATGGGTCATTCGATGGGTCCTTGACAGCCCATTAAACAGAAATAGCCTCCTGAGGGAGTTATCAGGGATGAGTCATGGTAGGAGTGATGAACACTGCCCCACCTGCTTTAACAGCTTGTGAAGATGATAATAGAATACATAGTATTGGTTACACCCTACATTATAACCTAGGACAGTTGGTTTCCTTCTTGATGAATTAACATGGTTTTGGCTACTCTTAACACCATTTCCATAGTGTGATAACTGTTGTCTAGCTGATTTTGGCATGTTAGCATGTCTGTACCTTCATTTAAATTATTACAAATGTCATGTTAGGAGTTCTTCAATTCCAAAGGAGTCTTCTGCAGGGTCACGTTTTAAACCTTGTGGGTTTACCTTGTAAAATTTCTGTGCATTGTATTTGGTCAGTAACGCTGAGCGTGATGACAGTCTGCACAGCCACAAGCACAAAGATCAGAGCTGCCCAGCTGCAACTTTGTTCTTTCATTTTTTGCCACAGCAGAATAGAACTGTGCAGTGTTTACTGCTTCTGTTTCGTGTGTTTGAATGGATTGACTGGACCTAGTTTCATGAAATCTCCTGGGTGAGCTTACTTGGTCTTTTGATGTCGGAATACCTTAAAACTTAAAGTTGCTGTGGAGACTGAAATGAGATCTCCTAGTCAAAAAGCTTTCCTGTTTATGAAGGAGCTTTGAACTGTTACAAAGATGCTTGAAGCAGCTAGATCCACTAAGCGTCTTTTCTCTGAAGATGGAGACACACTAGTCTGCAAATTGGGCCAGCCACGTCTAATTAATCTGCTAACTCCTTGTAGTCCTTCACTCCCCCAGGATATCTGTTCTTTCTTACTCCTCCATGCTTCTGAAAAAGTAGCTTGTGGTCTGATAAGTCATCTGTTTGTTTCTTGTAAGCTTTCTCACAAAGCCACAAATATGCACCTGGTATTGGACTGGATGTTTGGTTGTGTTGGAGATGTCTGTTGTTGACACAGTCCTGTCTCTCCTGCACATCCACTCTCATGACACTGTGGGCCTGTGTTTGATGGTGCTTGGGTGTTCCATCACAGGACTGGATGAACTACCTTGCTGGCTATGAGCCTGTTCTTGGCCACATTTTAGACCACCAAGGGCTGTGGTGTCAGAACATTTCCTGAGAGGCCTTGTGGCATTCCCCACTGAGGAAGTTGAGTACCACTCACCTAATGAAAATTCATACCCCTAAAAGTGCCCAAGAAAATACCTTCCTCTGCATGTCTGTTTGTGTGAGAAACCTGTGCAAATTGCATATAAAGGATGCAGCCTCAGGCTGAAAGAACCTTCTTTACTTCTCCAGACATGACCTGCTGTGAAATATTCCTGACCCTTGCAGTAATGCTTCCTGAGCAACTTTTTGCTGTTGCAGATATGAAAAAGGAGGTTCTGTCCACTGGCATTTTATCAGTCAAGAAAAACCTTTGAGCTACTCCCTTTGTTCTCTCTCTTTCTTTTTTCCCCCCCAGGCTACTGTGTGCTAAATCCAACTAGAAGTTACTCCTCACTGCATACTGGAATGAAGCTCTTTGAGCTCTACTTTGGGTTTCTTAGATTTTGACAGATTGGCAATCACTGTGAATCCATTCAGATATTTTAGTAAGAGTTTTATTAAGGCAGTGTGAAAACGAATGTAAATGTAAATCTGTTATGTGACATGTACTCTCATTTCTTTCCAGCAGAATGCAAGAATAATGCCTTGGCATCAGGAAGCATTCAGGTAAATGGACATGGAGGACAGCCCTTGAAACCTCCAGTTAAAAGAGGTCCTGGACGGAAACCGAAGGTGGAGACTAATAACAGTAGCTGTGAGGTGGTGGTGCACAAGAAAAGAGGCAGGAAACCAAAAAAGCTACAACTTCTTGAACAGCAGAAGGTTGCAGAGCAGAATACAATCCAGCCCACAAGGGACATACCGGAGGAAGCCTCTGTTTCTACTGCATGCAATTCTCTTTCTGAAAATAATGTGAAGGAAGACTTGTTACAAAAAAAAGGCCGTGGGGGTAGAAAGCCAAAAAGGAAGATGAAGACCCGTAAGCCAGGCTCGGACCTCCTAGTTCCTGCCAATGTTAAAATGCAAACAAGAAGCAGGAGGAAAAAGACAGATGAGCCTATGGACGAGGGGTCTGAAGAGCTTAAAGATTCTGAACCTCACATGAGAACTAGAAACCAGGGTAGGAGGACAGCCTTTTACAATGAAGATGACTCTGAGGAGGAGCAAAGGCAGCTATTGTTTGAAGACACCTCCTTAACTTTTGGAACGTCTAGCAGAGGCAGAGTCCGAAAGTTGACTGAAAAAGCAAAAGCTAATTTAATTGGTTGGTAATTTTTACCAAGGGTTTTACTTCAGAATGCTATGAAGCAGGTACAGTTAAGGAACAGCAGAACAGACTTCTGCTTCCCTGCTGCTATTATGGGTTAGAAGAGTATGTTCTGATTTGAGGAGAAAAATTTAGCAAAAAGATAAACTGAAAGAACGTTCTTTGAAAGAAATATATATTTTAAACTTTTGCTATTTATTGCCCTCCAAATAGGTTATACATTTCAACAGTCATTTTGTTCACAGTTGAGAATAATGAAGCAATTTCTGACTGACATACAGAGCTGAGAACTTCTCTGCTCGAGTAGTGTGTGATATCTATACAATTGAAAAAAGGTGATCGAACTTTTAATTGCCACAAACCGAAAACAGAAGTCTATTTTTGACCAGGCAAGGTACGCTTTGATTGTAAAGTCAGGTCGCCTAGGAAGGCAGACTTTGGCAAAAAAAGTGGCAGTAAATTCATTTACATTTCTATTAAATACGAAAATACCAAACTTTGCTAATCTGAAAATGTTTGATTTCAGTTGTGATGGAACATTCAGCTGCAAAAGAAGCCTAGCACAGGCCGTTGGTTTATCCAAGTTCTGCCAAACATAGCAAAAATGTAATCACAAATATATATATATATATATATATATCCACATTGGAAAAAGTTTGACTAATGTCTAATTTTTCAGACCTTGATTCTTGTATCAATCACGAAATCTCTGTTTATTGTGCCAAAGACTGAGAATCAGTGCAGTGGAAAGCCTTTTTTTCTTTTTCGAGTGTCAGTACAGCATACCATTTGCAGTGATCAAAGCTGTGTCTTGTTTTAAATAGTAAGTTGTTAACATTGTTCTGAAATGTATCCTTTTTGGTACTTCTGGTAGAAAACAATGCACTGGTGGGGTCCTTTGACAGAGATGTTTTAGTCTAAATGTATAATTGGTTAAAGGATTCAAGGAAATTACAGGACAGGTATGGAATTATGATGTTTACTTTCTGATCCAGATTGATTGTTGTTTCTACAACTTTAGACGTGCTTAAGAGGCTGAAATGACCTACAAAGAAGAGTGTATGTGTATATATTAATATATACATAAACACATACATCTAAAATATTACCCAGGTATGAATTTTTTTCAGGATTTTTTAGATAGCACTAGAATTGAAAATGAATTTTAAAATGTCATACTTTATAGTTTAATTTTAAGGGGAAGATTGGTTATTTTCAATTATTAGGGTTAAAAGGCCAAATCACTTTTTATGCAATCATGTTTTATACAGTGGTCTCATTGCACATTGTGTTTTTCTGCACTTTTTATGGTATATCACGCTGACATAAGTCAATATACACCCTAAAGAAAAATTCCATTTAATGATTGTGCCTTGTATTCTATTATTTCTTGCATCCTTACTAAAATTAAGTTGTCTATTGTAAATGATAACTATATGACTTAGGGGAATGTATTGTTATATGTACTGCTCTGGAAAAGAAAAGCAGTTATTTATTTGTTTATGGTACATTTAGTTATTTTATACCTTTGCAAACAAACCTTAATACCATTTTCTATCACTTCAAAAAAAAAAAAAAAGTATTGTCCAGTTTTAAGGAGAAGAATACAGAAGTAGTCATATTTGCTGAGATCTGGTATGGTACAAAAATGTAACCAAAGTTTTCTGGTTATACTTCTTTTTTCCTGTTTTTTTGTTTGTTTGTTTTACAAACATCACCTGCAATATCTGGAAGGGAAGGCATGCAGAATTAAGACCTTAAATTTGCACAGATTCTGTATTTGTATCTGAGGCCTGATTCTTCACTCTTTATTTTTTTTTAAAAAAATGTTTGAACACACAATATTGGTATTTGCCACCAAGAGGAAGAGAAATGTGCTACTGTGGATAGCAAATTAGTATCCACCATACCTAGTTTTAGGTAGTCGATTTTGCTGCAAAAAAATGGGGAAGTTATTTTCCAGATCCTCTTTGAATTGTTGTGAATAGGAGTTTGGGGAGCAGGAATTAGTTTGCATGTCATTATTAGCATATTTATTTTTTCTAACAAGCATTTCCTTATCATTGGGTTGAAATGGAGTCACTAAGGTAACAAGCTGTGGTTGTACAGTTGCAATCCAACTTCACCATTCCGACTGATTCCACTTGTTTTGTCAGCTCTCACTGATGAAGGCAATCATTTGAAAATGTGTAATTTCCTGATGTTATCTGCATTGTAATATAGGAAACAGAGTATATCTAAAAGTCATCACCTGTATTTACTCCGTTTGTAATGATGTTTTATATGGCATGTTTCTGTATATATTTATATCTCGAGAATACCTTGTATGTAAGTTTTGGAGACTGAAATAATCTGCGTTCCCTTAACCCTAGGTAGGAGATTGTACATCTTAATTTTCTGAGGATAGAAGGCCTTACTTGCAGAACATGGGTACTGCTTCCCACCCAGGAATATCGGTGACTTTAGCCAGTGAGTCTTTAATCCATATTAGATGCATTCATGTTTTTCCTTTTAAAATAAATTGTGGATAATTTGGGTCAATTTTTTTTTATAGTAGAAGCAACACTAGAAATTTATTAGAAATTAATACCAGATTTATTTAAAAGTTCTATTTTTATAATTTAATTTCACTAGGTCGCAAACTTTATTTATGAGACTTTAGTCACCATCAGACTGTGTTTTGGTTGGAGAAAAATGTGTTATTTGAGGTGGTTGTGAGATACTGTATCGACACGGAAAAAGAGCTTTTGATTACAGAGTCTTAAGTTTTTTAACGTGAGAAATAAACTCTTGGTCAGTGTTCTGAAATAATTTAAGAACTATAGTTATATGCATGTTTTATGATGTCATCTCAAGTACCTAACAAGTGGTTCAGAAAATGGAGTATCCAAAATCTCATGTGCTTGTTTCACATTTGCATTGTAAATAACATAGGCTCCTGGTCAGGTACGTGCAAACAACCTGGCAGCAATTAATGCAGTTTTATTCATTAAATTTGTTTCTGTTTGACATGGACATGAGGATACTGTGCTGGTGTTTCTGCACTATACTGGGAAACGTTCAAACTGGTATTTACCGCTGAGTGGTACCTTACTGACAGTGTGATCTCTAACTACTGATGAGGAAATAACTTCTGCTTCCGTCATAACCGTGTGCTCTACATGTCTAGCAGGAATCATTGTACTTGTGCCTACATATTTACCAACTCTTTAGCCACTTTGTTTCTGTTGTTAGTGTGTTCTCTGGGAACTGAACTGAGATTTTGCCACTGTAGTGTTCATTATTGTCAATACTCAACTAGAGCTCTTCATCACTCGGCAGTGACCAGTGGTACAACGTTGCAGAGAAATGTCTTCCTCCAGTGATTAGACTGCTGTGATAAAGGTTTGCAGATGTTTATTTGTACAGTGTCCGGTTTGTACCTGTGATAAGTTTGTTGATAGACTTGTAAGATTGAGTTGGTTGAGTTAAATATTACTATGGCTTAATATTTGTAAAGCTATTAATTGATAAAGGACCCTGATGCAGCACGTAGGATATATTAATATCTATTAAAAAATAAATCGTAGCGTAGAGACAACTTATTCACTGTATTGCTGTACAAATATTTTTAGGCACCAATTCTGTGCCAGAGGCTTTTGTCTTACCAAAAAAGGACTACATGCAACACAAAAAAATAGCCTGTCCATTCAGAAACTTCAAGCTTGTTACAATTTTTACACCACTTTGCTAAATATTTTGCTCACATTTGTTGGATCGAGGACTACGAGTAAATGCTTTAGTGTGTAATTTGAATTTAGGCACATGTTAAATGGTTGACTGGTTCTATAAGAGCAATAGGCTTAACTGGATGGGACCCTTTCACCCTGTGCTTACATAGTAGGTTAGAGGTTTTTAAGATCACTTTCATCAACGTTACATTTAATTTGAAGCGTGTGAATTTTGCTGAGGTGATTTTAACATAGCTGGTCAATCATGATACAGCCATACCACAACAATTACACTGTGTCCTGAGTCCTTACCTTACTCTAAAGTAGTATGTTTTGTCCACAGTAGTTTTCCAAAGGTTTTCCTTTTTACTTTTTTTTTTTTTTTTTTTTTTTTTTGGAACAACTTCATGATAACTCTGCAACAGTGCTGTGATACAGAAGGTAGAGAGTTTTAAAACAACCTCACCTAGAAACAGCAAAAGCTCATTTTCTGTTTACTACCTAAATGAAGACAAATTAACTGTGTGAAATTAGTGTATATTTTCTTTTATCCCTGAAGTTCTTGTAACAGATTGGTTTCCAAGGGGACCTAGATACTCAACTGATAAAAGGGCTGTTAGTTTTCTTCTGTAAATTATTGTATATACATGTTTGTTCGTATGCAGAGGAAAGTGTATTGCGTTTCAGAAAATTGGCCAAGGCTTGACAATGTGTTTCCAATAACAGATCTGGCATTGGCAGCTGATGTAGCTTCTTGGTTTGGAAGCAGGAGTACAGCTTGTTCACTTTCTACTGTCTGGGGGAAAATAGCAGGTAGCTTTTAAACCAGAGCTAATCTCTGGGTGCTCTTGTGTTTCTGCTAATTTGAACGTGGGAATTGGCCGTGTCATTTTTGCGGTGTGTTGGAGGAGGGAACACGCCAGGAAGCTAGATTAAAAGGCATCTTAAATTCAGAAAAAGATGATTAGCTGCTTTTTTTTTTTTTCCTTTTCCCAAGGTTAATAACAACCTCGAGGCACTCTAGAGAGAAACCTTATATGCTGCAATAAAATAAGGGTGAATAAATTTAGCTTTTAGGAGGTGCGTAGTGAGACAAGTAGTCATTTGGATCCTTTTTAATGCAGATAAATACATCAGGAAATTCACTTCAAATAATGCAAACGATACATTTTAGGGAGGGAAAGTAGTACTGTACTAGGAATTTCTACACTGAAAGAACAAAGAATGAGGTCACATGAATGAGGAGGAGAAAGAGAGAAAGTACCTACCCTGTACTGAGGTACACGTACTATTTT